ATATGTATATATATATATATATATATGTATATATATATATATATATATATTAAATCACATGTGACTTATTCACGCGCGGTGACGTAACAAAATGGGTGTCCTCCCTAGGCAAAATCGACGTTCTGGACGCGCCGGTGCAGTCCGTTTCGTCATCCGGGGTCGCTCGGACGACGTCGTCGACAATCGGGTAAAAAACGCGACGAAAATTGAAATTTTACAAAATTTCGACCCGCGATCGATCGTCCCAAAAAGTTTAATTGAGCATTCGACAAGTAACAATACAGGCCATGCGAATTGCGGCGATCAGACGCGTCGACTCTCCGAATTGCGAAGTTTGTGAGCGCGGGAGTGCGAATTGTGCAAAAGGTCACCCTAAGGCTCAAAAGGTCCTATAGGGATCCCTTTTGGGTTCCTCATGTTGGTTTCATCCTTCTAAGTGTTAAAAGTCGATACCACACACGCGAAACCACAAAAGAGTACAGAAGCGGGTTGAATTTCTAGAACAATGCGGGTCCCATTTCTAAGGTTCTAAGATAGTCGAAGAGAGGTCCATAAGGCTAGATCCTAAATCCTAAGAGAAAGATTAGATCTCACTAAAAATGAGGTCAACATTGACATCTGTCAGCTACCAAGTCTGACATATTTATTTTTATTCTATTTCTAGAAAAATAAAGTCAATTGCTCACCATTGCTTGATTTATAACATTGTTATTTGATCTTCATCTAATGCATGCCAATGGGCGATGACCAGCACTTGTTAACTATAAACATTCAATGCATGCCTTCCCACTGGCTAAACCTTCCTTCCTATAAGGAGAAAGATCAAGCTGGCTTCTCATTATTGCTCGACTATTGATATTCCATATCAACTGTCGTCTAACATCTATTGGTGATCATTGTTTGTCGTCCACTAACGTCTGATGTCTTGTATAATTGCCTAATCTCATCTCCTGCTATTTGAATGTGTAAATTAATCACCCATTGTTGCTTAAATTTCAACATTCTCCATGTGTCATCACATGGTGCCTTTGAACCATTGTGTTTGACTTCCATCCATTAATGTCCAACACCCATCTTATGAGTCTCTTAGTCTACTCTATTATCAAGAGAGCGATGAAGTCAACCACCCTTTGTTGTCTTACTATTAGTATGATCAGGTGCTTGTCAATGATTGACATATGTTAGCCACAGAGGTTTGAGACCCATATTATTAGTCATTTGATCTCATGTCTTATCGAAAAAACGACCAATACTACCAACCAATATTGTCTAATTTCTAACAAATTTCTTGCTTGGTTTGCTTTTTAGCTCACAATTAAATATATTCATTTAATTAATCATAAACTAAAAAAATTTAAATTAAATTCAATATTAATTCATTTAAATAGTAATTATAATTTTTATAATTTGAATATTTTCTTAAATACTTCCTACATAATATTTCCTTCACAAAAATAATATAATTGGCTATGAAAAATAAAAATTAGATTAGATTTTATTTTATTATGTTTGAAATTTTTAAGTTTTTGAATAAATGATTTAATATTATTTAAATATTAATTTAAAAATTTATAAACAATAATTAAAATAATTTTCTATTATTTTTTCTTCTAATAGCTTGTTGCCATTATAGAATCATTAAATTTTATTTATTCTAGTTTATTGGCTTATGTTGATACAATATGATAGGCTACATGATATAGTTTTGATCAAAATTGTATCTAGTATGATTTTTCAAACATTTTCATGTTTTTGGTGAGGTGGCTAGTCGTTATACACCCACTTGGATATTTTTAAGTTTTGTTTGACTTCCATGTTCTGACACATGAACGACTGATATTTGATGTCTGTTAGCCACCAATGTGTGACGCCTATCTTATCGATCCTCTCCTATCAAGAGAACGACTATACTAACTACTCATCATCGCTTCACTTTTGATGTTTCTTCTCAAGCATCACCTGACGTTTGTATACTATTAGTATTTGTCAAGCAATAATGCTTATTATTCTTTGTCACCCTATCTCTACACCCGTCAAATGAATGATCAAACCAATTTCCCACCGTTGCTTGATGTCTAACTCTATTGTTGTTTGTTGCTTGCCAACAACCGACATTCATTAAACACTAACTTCCAATGCATGTCTTCTTAATCACTTTAATCACCCCTCTTAGGAAGAGAATGCCATGTTGAACATTCGCCCTTTGTTGGCTTCCGAAGTTCCTCATCAACCATCTTTTGAAATATGACATCAAGCAAGGTTTGATGTTCATCAATCAACATTGTTTAATGGTTGTCATCTAAGCATGCAGCTAAATGCTTTTGTTCAACCGACTTCTAATGTTTCCTATTGATTATCGTCTAATACCTACTAATGATCAAATTGGGACATTTACTATCCACTGACTTCCGATGCTTGTCTTCTAGGACAATCAATCTTCTATTTTATCAAAAAAATGACCAAATTTACTACTCTCTATCACCTGGCTCTCGGCGTTCAGCATCAACCATTGATGTTAATTGTCTATGAACGACATATGATGTTCACAATCATCAACATCTAACATTTGTCTCGTCTCTGTCGCGCAATCTCCCTTCTTATCAAAAGAAAAATCAAGTTTATGCCTTTTGTTTAGAGTTTCGATGTCGATCAATTGTATTTTGACGCTCATTACTTGAAGAGTCGATGATGATTGGCTTATCTAAACTCTTAATACCGTCACATGAGATTTTATCTATGTTCGTGTCTCATTGTATTAACACCTCCAACTATAAGGTAGAGTATCATTTTTAATCTTTAGTTTATACTAATGAAATTATTTCAAATGGGCCACATTTAATACTTCTTTTCCTTATTGTATTTTCTATGTAAAAATTCTTACATTTATGGTCTGTTTCTCTCGTCTATGCCTTTGTAATCTTCATAAAACCCTAAAGCACTAAATTATATATTTTGTGATGAATTTCCTAACATGTAACAATAATAATTGTGCCAATGAAAATGTTCTTAAAAAAGAAAAATAATTTGTTGGCCCTAAAAATTTGCTCCCAAAACCTCGAGAAACAAAAATTTTAGTTGAGTATTACATAAATATTGCATCAAAATTCAAACAAAATGATAAAAAAAAAAAGAAGCAAAAAAGGAAGTTATTAAAAATATGCGTTTTGCGAGCTCCTCTCGCTTGAACAATGGTGAATCAACTAGCATGGATTTAGGGCTCTATGAAGGTGAATGCTTGAATCGTCAAGATGCAAGCGCTGCTTGGTTTGCTATAGATTTTTATTTTTAATTAATTAACATTTTCTTTTCATTGTGCTAATACTTATTGGCCAGTGTGCCTCAGTCTTCATCATGTTTTGTGTTTATAGGGTCCCATTCTACTATCATGTGAAGTTTGCTTTTCTCTTATGGCTCCAGCTTCCGTCCAATAATGTATGTACTCTAAAACAATTCACTATTAATTCCACTTTAGCATTACCTTGCGTCATTTCATTTTATCTGCTTGGGACATGCTGCTTTAATATTTGTATTCGTTGCATTAGTAAAGCAAGTTTAAATAGTTTTTAGGTGAAAAATTTCTAAGGTATTTCCTAAATGATTCACTACTGAGTTATCTTCCTATGGGTTTAGATAATTAATTGTACAGTGCAGAACATCACCATGTGATTTGTGTATCTTTTATGAAAGCTGATATGGTCTTGATTTTTATTAAATTTTTTATATGTAAATGGAAATAATTGTGTTGTGTAGCAACATTCTAACCAATGGAATGATTGTAGATTGCATTTATATTTCAATCCATTTTCAATGAATTTCTTTTTTCTTTTTGAACTCTGGATATGATTTTTTTCACTCTTAATACATTTCAGAAAACCATGGTTGGTTTCAAGAAGTTTACATGATAGGAGAGAAAGATGGATAGAGTTTTCCCTTGTTACTTACGTTGACTTGTTGAAGCTGATGCCAATAGATGCCGCCTTGCTTTAAAATTATTAAAAACTCTTTCAAAGACAACATTTTTTAACAAGTATAGTCTTTTTTTCTCTAACATTTTTTATAATTTGCGCATTGTAACAAATATTTGCATAAAATATTTTGATTTTCTAGTTTGTGCGTATAGATTAACTTTTGGCAATACCGATGGTTATCCAAAACTGTCAGTTTGCAAGCATGAAATCAACGTCTAACACCTAAACTTCAATATTTACATACATGCCACCTTACCTATGCATGGATAGGTGTATGTCACTTTTTAAAAGTTAAAATGATGATATTGTGATGTGATATGAAAAATTTGGGTGTTATAAATGTAAAACGTAAAGCTTAGGTGTTAGATATGTAAATACATAAAAATTGGGTGTCATGTATTGGGTGTCATGTATGTAAATGCCTCTATTTTTTTTTAAATGAGTTTCATCGTTCTGATGTGTGTTTATTTTCCAGCAGGGTGCAAGCCATTTGTATAGAAGGCACATACGCCCCTTCTTGTTGAAGCATCAATATAAATTTGATCTATTGCTCAACTACACATCTGGCGAAACCGTAGGGTCTTTTCCCATTATATCTTTTAGTATTTTGTAATGAAATAATGGGCCTTTATGTATCTAATGCACCTTCATATCATTAATGTTTGCGCTCATGATATATTTTTTTATCCATGTTGGGATGTTGCTAGTGCTAATAATATTTTTTTAGGAAAATATGAGCTCATAAATATTCATTTATTGATATTATGATCATTTTTTCTCACCAATTAATTCTTTGCTGGTTTTCAAATTTAATTTACAACTTCAGGATTGAATTTCGTCCTTCGCAAACCATAATCTGTTTTGCACAATGTTTGATTCTTCAGATAAAATTTCTTGTTGCTCACGAAATTGAAATCCAGTGCTTGAAGGACTTGATTATGAAAGGCGCAAGAACAGGTAAGCGGTGCATAAGACTTTCCTGTTATGTGCAATAGGGAGGTAGGATTTATGTGTAATTGCTCAGTGCAAATGCTATGGTACTCTTCAACCATTCTTCCTTCGTGGTTAAAGCGAAAAGCTAACTAGTAATTTTCTTTCTGTTTATGAAAAAACTATGGCACAGCTAACCAAATGCTGAAAGACTTCAGACTGTTTCAATTCCAAGGTGGAGAGGGTCCGAATGCGCCCACAAGGTTAGCAATTCAGGACTCTGATGATATAAACAATTAGTCATAATGTTGTCTATCGGTTTGTTTGATTCCGGATTACTTAGGTTTTTATGGTTTTGATTTAAGTTTGGTCTGAACCTTATGGTCATGCAAAATGTATAGCTAATCCTGTTTTCTTTTTATTTTTATAGTCCTCTGAAGCTTTTTGAGAATTTGGACCTTGTTGACTTATTTTATGTGTTTGCATCAGATCTACCGACTCTAGTGCACTGCTTATTGTTGAACTTTGAGTATATTTAAAAAAAAGTAAAGTTTCAAAATAATCTCCAATTATTTACATGCGGTTGTTTTTGTCTCAGAGTTTATAGAGTGTCAAAATAGTCCCCGAGTATTTTAAAATTGAGCTCTAACAGTCTCACATGGGGATTATTTCATCCCCAAATTAAAAAACCTGCGAGATTATTTTAACATTTCTATAAACTTTAGGATTAAAATAACCCCGCATGAAGAGTCGTGAACTATTTTGGATCTCTACTCTATTTTGAAAAAAAAAAGACGAGTTTATTATAATTTATGATTTAGTTGAATGTATTATAAAAAGATTTAATTGCATTGTGATTTCATTTGTCTTCATATTTTTTCTAGTAGTCATTGGTCGATCAATCTTCCTTCACCGTTGACCCCGACTTGTCCTGTGCATAAAAAACACTTGAGATAATACATCTCTTGTTTGCAAAACAGAAATAAATGTTAAAGACGTTGCTGAGTAATTTAAAATGCGACGTCTCGTAAGCTCATGCACGCCCAAAGCCCAAATGACATTCTCGTTTTAAGTGATTTCCTCGAAGAATGCAGAGGTTGCATGTGGCCGATTTATTAGATAATTTGTAATAATATATTTTATTCATGTTATGATGCATTGTGGTCCTAGGTTTTGTTAACCACTATTAAAATCACTCTTTTAAAAATCTGATCGGATTGGCCGGTTTGAGCGGGTCCACCGTGAACCGCACGATCATCGCACATGTTTGG